GAGTGCTGCTTTTTAGGCCTATTCTCTTACTAAGCCTTACCCATTCTACTACTAATTTAAATTGCTCTGCAACATTACTATCATTTCTCATACAACTTTCAAATACTGTAGAGAGAGGGGGGTAAGTAGTCATACACAGTCAGCAAGGGCAGAAGAGGCTATTTTGTGTACCAAAGACACCTCGTGAAGGTGTCTTTAGACTTAAACCCAAAGTTATCAAGGGCTGTATTTCAGAACTTGTTGCACGGTTCAGGGCTTTGAAAACCCTTTGAGTGTAAAAAAGTGCAATAAACAGGAAAATAAGATATTGAAAACAAGTCACTAAGTAAATTGAATAGCAAGTATTTTGTATCAAGACAAATTGTAACAAAGACCTCCCATGGTCTACTTCTGGAACTGCGTACCCACTAAAGTGGCAACACAAACCAGCATGGAATTATGCTATATATTACCTGATTGTTCCATTATGTACTCTAGAACTACTCACAAATTATTCTATTAAAATTAACCAGAGGCTATGCTGAGAATTTATTTGCTGAAACATGTTTTCCTGATACTGTAACTAGTTCTAATTTGTGTTTGTTTTTTGTTTTTCTTTTTCTTTTCAACATTGTTTTCATAGGAATTTTGGCTTCTTGGAGAAACAGTAGAAAATGCAAAACGAAATAATAAAGCCTGCTAAATACTTCTCAGAAGTGGAGAAGAGTGTGCTGCTTGCATTAGTTGAAAAATACAAATACGTGCTTGAATGTAAAAAAAGTGATGCAAGAACTATTGCTCTGAAACAACGTACCTGGCAAGCACTAGCTCATGAATATAATTCACAGCCCAGTGTATCACTGCGAGACTTCAAACAGTTAAAGAAATGCTGGGAAAATATCAAGGCACGGACAAAAAAGATAATGGCACATGAAAGGCGGGAGAAGGTAAAAAGAAGTATTAGTCCACTTATAAATACTCACATCGTAGGGAAAGAGAAGATTGCCAGCATAATGCCTGAGCAAATGTACTTTTTGCAGAGCCCACCAGAAGAAGATTCTGAATATCAGCCTGATGCTTCTAGTCAAGGTATAAATGTTACTGTAATGATGCAAATAGTATTGTTTTGTATGTGATTTTGCCAGGGATTCTCTTTCAGCAGTCTAAATCTCTCTACCTAGCTGGGACTGCTGATTACAGAAAAGTAATTTCACAGCTATGATATTACAAGACTTTGTGTATTACCCTAGGCCTCCGGGAGTTAAACTGAGGGTTTTCACACATTTTTTTTATCAGTTTCTGACATATCTGCTGCTTTGTGGCAAGCATCACAGTAGCTATCATGCTGGCTTTCCAGAGAAGAGTCCCAAGGATATTCTTATTCTTTATAAAGTATAATTTTGCTGGTTAAAACAAACGAACAAACAAATCCACCAGCAGAAAATGGATACAAAATTGTCTGCTGCAAGAGTTCCCTGTAGGTCTTTCCTCCTTTGTTTTCAAGGACTACAGAGAGTATGTAGAGCCATATTTCACATTACAGTCCACATTGGAAAACGGCCTTTCTGAGAAAGTTCAGCACTACATTCTTCTTTGTTTGGCAAGCATACACATAGCGAATAATGCAAAACCAGAAGGGAGGGTGGCTATGACGGTTTCTTGCAAGTTTTATTATGTCAGGATCTCACATAGGAGACTGTCCTTGCTCAAAAGACATCAGTAGCCATGTTGTTAGGTAACATTCTTAGAATGTCTCTTTCATAATTGTACTTACCATAATTAGTCATCAGGATCTGTAAAGGAATGTATTTTGAGACCCTCATTTGCAGTGGTAACTATTCTGTTCCATGAGTAGTCTCTTTTATTTCAGAAGAATTGGTAGAGCCTTCTCAAAGTTAGAATAATGTATTTCTTTCCTAAAAATATACACTACTGTGTTTACAACATCTACAGTAGTGATATGGAAGGAATAAGAAGTATTCTTCGTAGTATTCCCTCACTCTCTTGATATTCATGTTGATACAGCTCTTCACCTGACACTGAGATCTTTCATAAAAGTATTGCAAGTCACATATGGATTTAGCTTAAACAGCTGCATTAAGGTTTAGCTCCAGGCTCAGCCACCTAAATTTAGGTATCCACTTATAAATGTCTATATTCACTTTAGTATTCTGAGCTCCCATTATAGCCATGGAAGTGTAACAACAGAGCCCAGAGTAGTTCGGTTCAGACCATTATACTCTTAGTATTCTGTAACAGAACTGCATTAGGTAGTGGCTCCTGTACTTTGGTACAGACGTGCAAGGTTTAGATGTGTGTGTCAATAACTTATCACGTTTGTGTTTCTTGAGGGAGGGGAAGGGAATACTATAGTACTTTTTCTTCTTTTGTTTTGCAGAATCATTTGTTGTCTCAAACAGAGAACTTTGTGATGAAGACAAAGAGCTGGTACATTTTCCAGTATGTGAAGGTACCTCCCAACCTGAGCCTTCGTGTTCTGATGTCAGAATAGCAGCAGATAAGAACTACAGAAGTAAAGCATCTCAGGAAAGTGCTCTGAAAAAAATGCATGAAGAAGAACATCATCAGCAAATGTCAATTTTGCAACTGCAGTTAATCCAAATGAATGAAGTTCATGTGGCAAAAATACAGCAAATAGAAAGAGAGTGTGAGATGGCCGAAGAAGAACACAGGATAAAAATGGAAGTGCTAAATAAAAAGAAAATGTATTGGGAGAGAAAACTGCAGACCATCACAAAAGAATGGCCTGTATCATCCTATAACAGACCCTTTCCTAATTCACCTTAGAACATAAAGGGGCAGAGAGTCAGTCTGATTCGCACGTTTATGAGTAACGCGCACTGGAAAGAAGGTTTTTTAATGTGAATGTACAGTGACAGGGTAGGTGCCTGGCTGATAGTGAACACACTATGACTCTTAATATTTAGAGAAACAGTGGTATAGTCTACCAAGGGGAAAACTGTTCATTTGTAGGTAGTTCTGATTTGTTTAACTCAGACATGCACAGTGTTCTAAAATGTGAACATATTTTCCCCTCTCAGAACGCCCTTGCATCCTTGTGAAATTTAAGGTACTCCAGGTGTTCTTACATTGGGTATTCTTAAGATAACAGCTTTAAACATCAGGCTGTAGTGTTTATTTTGATTTCTATCTCTTCCTATCTACCATTTTCCAAATTAATACAAGGATTGGAGTTGCTCTCTGCTATTGAGGCAGAAGTTGATTGACAGCTATCAGTTGGATCATTATGCTGGGGCTTAGGAAAAAATAAACTTGTCTCTAGTTAATATAGTCCCATAACTTATTCTTCATAGAAGATGTGAAAAATTAAGGAAGTAGCAAAAGGACCACTGTAATAACTGAGCCCTTTCCATCTGAAGAACAACAGTATTTCCCAGCTGGCTGGCTGATTGAGAGAATGGTTGTGGACTGGCCCTCTGGTTTTTTGAACCTTGACCCTTACGAAGTTAAAAAGAAGGCGACTTCTTCCTCAAAATCCATTGTGCTTGTTCCTTCTTTCCCAGACCCATCTTGTATTGAAGTAGCATACCGAAATAAGAGGGTCAAATGCTGCTGCCAGCACTGTGTTCTGTTCACCTGGAGTCATTCTGAGGGGAAGAGCTTTTTAACAATTCGTAAAGCATTAAAATGCAGTGAGCTAGCCAGCCCATTGGCAAAGTCTCCCTCTATCTTCCTATGCAATACTTGATGGTGTAGCAGCTAGCTTGAGTATCTCACTCTCTCCTTAGGAAGAAGAAAAGACTTTAAATTCACCCTCTTTTCCTTCACATAGGGTGGGAAGCAGTTCAAGGGAATCATTCCTGTCCTGAACCACTGTTCTATTTTGTTCTGTCCTGTGCATTATGGTGGTGTGTTTCTTACGTTTGCTGTCAGTGCGGGGTGATGGACATGATTTGTGTGAAGCATTCACATGAAGATACCCACAGAGTTTGGGTGTCCGGAACAGTAGATAGTAGGAAAGCACAAATAAAGATAATCCTTACCCAGGCAATCATTTATTCTAATGGGGCAAGGGTTAAGAGAATGTGAAATGCAGAACCCCGCAAAGCTTCATGAGAGCTTCTGATGTGTGAAAACTTGTTTTACAGGAAGGTGTACAACCATCATTTGAAGCAGTGAGAAACATTAACAAAACCATAAATTTTCATTGAAAAATCCGAGTATCACGTTATTTAATAAAGTATTTTCAGATCATGATTCATAAGGGCAAGTCCATACTGTGAGCAATGTATTCAAATTAAAGTATGTTACAAAGTATACGTTCCCAGTTACACTTCTCTCTCTTTCCCTGGATGTTCTTTCTGGTGGAGTGAGTTCCTTTTGATTTTGTTTTGGGTTGGGATTTTTTGTGTGTATGTGTGTATGTGTTTCTTTTTCTTGAACTGCTTTCACTGCTGGTGATTCATCTTTCCAAGTACTGCCATTATCAACCACAGTACTCACTGTGGTTAACACTGTGGTACATGCACTACTCCCTTCAACGTGCTAACACCAGCAGGCACAGTGGGAGCTATTTATTACAACTTATTTTATATGACAGACTAAAAAAAATATGCAGAGCTGCTGCAAGATAGAAATAATAGGCCATGTATGAAATCTGAAGACAGATCTTTTTGACTGCACTTTCAATTTTCTTATAAATTGGCCATATGAAGGAAGTACAGGAATTCCAAAGAAGGATATCGTTGTGGACACTTTTTTTCTTCCTGCTGAATAGAAACACTATGGGAAAGTATAATAACAGTAGAGACGAAAGAAGTAAACAGAAGTGAAGATCTTTTTGTTCTGAGATCGCATTCTGAGATCTGAAAGATGAGTCACTTATTTCAGTGGTTATGACAATTGGTCAGGCACTATCCAGAAAAAAGAATAGGGAAGACATTTGTCTTAACTAGTGATGGGATTCCTTCCACACTGGTTCTAAGTGGAAGTCATTTGAAACGATGAAATGGAAACCAGGTGTTAAAAGGTGACGAATGGAGACAATTACAACACTGCAAATAGGGCAAGAATAGAGAGACAATCCAGGTCTAGAAGAGGTATGAAATAGTCCAGGGAGAATCTCATGAAATGTGAGATAAGGGTAACTTGGACTCCTGGAAGTTATACCATGGCTCATGAAAGATTGTTTTATTTTTTTATTTAAATATCCTTTAAAATATGCATGTTTTCAAACTCTACTAAGTGGGCAATGCCTTGGTTTTTGGCATATTTTCTTATCCTAAAACCAAAAGTTACAGCTCTTAAGCTGAACAATAGACCCTTTTAATTCAGTTTCTATTTAAAAGAAAGAAGATCACTGTGCTGGTTTAAAGGTAAACCGGCAGGAGAACTGAACCCAATTCAAAAGAGATTATAAGTCAGAGTTACAATTTAATAACAATAATGCAATAAATACAATTATATGGAGAAACAGTTGGTTTTTACCCACAAAACCCAGATGTATAACCCAGCACCCTGGAGCATGAACAGAATGGTGCTCATTGGCCCCTGTGCTGAACCCCACGTGGTCCTCCTAAGTCCAAAGCAAAAGAGGAGGAAAATCTATTGATGAGAGTGCTGGTTGCAGTCTGGTCGAGGGTGGTGGTTGCAGTCTGGTTGAGGTTCTGGTCCTCCTCTGGATCCGATGAGAGGGGCCAGAAGACCCAAGACCCCAAGATTATATATACTCAGGTTTGAGTGGGAATGCCCAGTACCTCCCCCAGGGCAGGGAGTTCCACAGTGGGTGACTGTGAGTCGTGAGATATTTTTGGAATCCTTGGTGGCACATTAGCAGACGTGACCCCTCAGGCTGGGTGTGAAGGTGCTAATGACTCCTCAGAGGGGAGTTATCACACCTGAGCCATTGATGTGAGGGTGGGAACATTCTCCTACCTCACAGGCTTCTTAACACCCAGCTTATAGCCTGAGGGGTCAGGTGTGCTCTGGGCAGCTGCTCCAAATGGTCTATTGTTAACAGTTCCTGGGAAATTACATAGAGGGTATAGAATACACAGTTTGGGTTACACCCCCACAGTGACAAACTGGTCCTGGCTGCTCTAACTAGGACAATCACAAGAAGAAGATTAGAAAGAGCCAAGATAAAGATATGAAAGAAAGAATGATCAGTACATGCATAGCAGAAAAATGAGAATGTTAAACTAACACAAATTATACAAGATGGTTTTGTGGTACACATAACAGATGGTTCACAGGTGACACTGGCTCTTGTTTTCCCATTTGTAGTTGACTGTTGGTTGCTGTAAGATTGGGTGCTAGACATAGAAAAATGTAAAAGATCAACAAGGTGAAATAATGTATCTCCTTGCCAGGCTTTGGCTTCTCCACTTCAAGGCTTTATAAAGTGATTTATGTGGTGGAGTTGAAATTACTTGAGAAATGTGACTTGTACCTTTTTTGGTTTTGTTGTTGTGATTGCAATTACTTCCTCTGGTATTAGGATTTACATTCTCTTTTGTTTGACTCTTCTTATATGTAATATAGCCATCTCAGACAACATGTCAGTTTGTTCCTCTCCCTTTTTTCTAGATTACATCATTCAAACTTTCACATAATTGTGTTTTCCTGATAACTACTTGGCCCAACTATGTATGAATTTTCTCAAGGTTTTTCCACAGATAAAATACATCAATATTTTAAGAAGAACATGCCTGTTCTTCTTTGGGTTTGCTATACAAGTTTTTGTCAAGAATGAACTTAAAAGATACACTGGGCAAAATGATCTCTTCTTAACTCCATGTGTAAAAATGTGTACCAGACATGTAGTGGCCATTGTTCTCAGCCTCTATGTTCTTATGGAGAGTAACAACAACCTTCTAGACAAGACATGGTGAATTCCTTTATGCTTCCCAAATTGACATGAGCCTAGCTCCAGGTGTCTCTCCCTTGGAGTTCATCTAATTTGTTGCCTGGTATAAAGTTTTTCGTTTGTTGATTTTTTTTCTCCTGCATTTATTCCTTATGTCTCTGTTTCCGCTTAGCTTTTTAACCAGCAATATGAGCTGGGGATTTCATTCAGAGCTATGTGTTTTGCTCTTTCCTTTCTCTAGCTCAGACTGCCTATATCACAACGTTTGAACGTGAAATGCGTGTTCCTCTGTTGTCACCTTCCCCTTCCCCAGAAAGCATGGTTAGTTAGTCTTTTATAGACAGCTGCCCATACATTCTGGATTCTGCACACAGGCTAGGAAACAAAGGATTTTGAAGAAAGGTTAGCATTGAGAAAAGACTGTATAGAGAAGATCACTTTCTCCATGTAATTCTAGAAGAACATTGTGACTAAAAGTCATTCATCAGGACCAGACCTAATGCAGGGTGCTGAAGCTGTGTAAGTGGTGGTGATTCTTCATAAATCCTTGGGGTTCTGCAGAAGTTGGGCTTGAGGTTTCTGTATAACAAAGTTCCTTTTTTCTAGGTAGTTGAAGAGTCTCATTGAAAGACTTTCACAGATACTTCCTCAAATCAAAGCTCTTACCTTGACAAAGAATCGATTCATCCTGCCATCTGTTGTACTACTTCTTTCAATGCCCAGGCTGCTGTATGACAGGAGCAAGGGATCTTGCTGCTTGACAGAAATGCTCTGTCTGATGCTCCTTCCTACACTGCAGAGATGTGTTTAGCCAGGGTTCAAAACACAGCCCTCCCCAGCCACTGCTTGGAGAAGCAATCCTTACAGAGCAGGTGTACCTGGTGTGGCCAAGCTCAGAATTTAGATCTTCCCATTGCAGTCCAGTGATCAGAGAAAGGAAGGATGGTTCAGGGCTACCCTTTCCTGAGCATGTAGGGCAGCTAAGGATGTTGTACTGAATTTTTTAATGATCATTCATCTTTGTGTGTTTCCAATAACAAATTTTAACAGTCTCCCAAGGATTTGTATGATTACATTGGTATTTTTCAATGATCTTTTGCAGATAATTTTTTTACGGCTTTTACAGTATGTCCTTTTCCTTCTTACCCACTTGCTTCCAGTTTTGTTTTGAATCTCTGTGGTTACACTCTGTACAACTACACATTCGTGCAGTGTCATACTTTCAGGTATGTTTCTCATTATGACATTAAAACAATAAACTGCTACACATTTATATATTGTTACTTCCTAGGCAGGAGAATTAATGTAAATCTTAAAATAACATTTAATTGAATTTTTTTTCAGACAAATCCTTCACAAATAGTCCCGTGATTTCATATTTTGAGCTAGCTTGGTCAAAGATATTTTTATAGAACTGATGCATCTTAGTTTCTTTCACAAGAAAAAAACCTGTCTTTTCACACTATTCTTCTGTTTCCTCTCAAAGCAGATGACTGTAAATTCGCACATCATCACTCTTCCTGAACTTTGTCTCTAGTTAGATATTTAAAAGCGTTTCTGTGCAAATTAAGTACTAATGCATACTAAAAATAATACATTTAGGCTAATAAAATAAACAAAGTACCAAGATGATATGACAATATGCAGCTACTGTTAATATAATTAAAAAATGTTAGAGAGGACAGCTCTGTACATGTGATAAAAAGAAAGAAGATAATTTGTTGCTATCTATAAGAATAGGATAATATATTTTTACGATGAAAGCAAGCAGTGGTATCTGTTTTTGATATCACAGACTTCTGTGTTGCTGATCAGCTTGATTCTCTTATATCTAAGGAAGGTGCACATGGAATTGTGGACAGATTTCTGGGCCTAAAATAAGAGCTATTAAATAGAAATGTGTTAGCTGTGGCTCTGAACATTTTACTGGTGATTAGGCAGTGATTAGTGAAGGGATTAAGCATCCCACAACATCATCAGTCATGTTAGTAAGAAATTAAAAACTTACAAAGGAAAAAAAATAAAAATAAAAGGATTGGTATGTTTTTCAGAACAAGTCAGAAGTGAAGACAGCTCTATCTGCCCCAAGACGTAACATTGTCACATATGTCAAACAGTTTCCCTGCGTGGTCTTCACTTCTGTTTCCTTTGAGACTCTGGACATCTTTATCATAGAATTCACAACTCCAAGTGCCTGACAATAAGAAAAGTAGCCACTTTCAAATAGGAATCCTGCCAGTTATTAGACCTCACTCTTTACTAAACTGAAGTTGAACAATTTTCCGAGACTACATTATCCAGACACTCATGCTATGCACTGTGGAAAGGCACATGAAATCTGTCCAGCATGTAGTCTGCCAAATGGCATAGGTTATGCAGCAAGAAAAAGGAAAAGATTGTCCACCACGTAGTGGTGGGTCATAAAATTGTTATACTCAGGAGGGTGTGTGG